TGCCTACTCAATATTTCTCCTAGTTCATCTTCCTGGCTTAATCGTTAGTCCTAAATCATTAATCAGCTGTAAGCGCGGGTATTCGAACCAACCCGCGAGCGTACAGTGTGTAACCGCCACAGTAGGGCCTAAAAGGGCTGATGTTAAGCCAGAGTTTCGTGTCTATACCGCAGCCTCTATAGACAAAGACAAAATCCAGGCTTGTTGCAGAATGCAATCCCACCCCATGCAATCATGCATATACAACAAATGTAACATGCATATGCACACGTGCAAAAAACGTAAAATATGCCACGCAATTAAACCTTTACTGGACACGTGTTTTGCCCCTCAACAGGGCATCCTCAGGAGATGTTGACTTGATGTCAACTCGGCGCTCGGCCGCAAACTCCTTTTTAAAAAGGTCGGCAACGCGCCTGTGACTCCTCTGGTGCTGCAGGCGTCCATGGGCGGCGCCGATTACTTACCATCTGCTGATCCGTCTGCTCGTTTGCCTCCAATGCCATTAAATAGACTGTGTTAAGTAATTATCGGATTCATAAATTCCTATGTACACGACGGAAAAACTTGAATCTACAAACACAGTCACAGAAACGCAAGTCTTTTGTCTTCAATAAATAATATCCTCAATCACTGAGGTGGCTTAGTGAAACAAGCCACATCTCATAAATATGCAAACAATGGTGTTCTTGCTCCGGTACAAGTGATACAACGTACTCTTGTAGTCCGAAACAAACCCTGCACCGATTTGACATTTACTTATAAGAATTAAATATTAAAGGAACAGTAAGTGTGGTAGAGCCATGCTTCGGCACGAATGGATCGGCTCGCCTGGAGTGATATCACGTCCTCACAGAAAACCGGCGTAAAGCAATCCTTCCCCCTTTCCCTCTTTCCCTCTTTCCCTCTTTCTCCATTCCTCAAATCCCCTATCCCTAAAACCAGAATAACCCACAAGAGCCCGACAGTACTCTTGTAATAACTGCTTACTACCAGATAATTCGTCTGTTTCTGTTCGTTTGCCGACCTATGACATAAAAAAAAAGTATCACTCCTACTTTGGTCACAATAACAATTAAAGAAAACGAAACATTATTGTCCATGTTCAAACATTTCTTTTCTTATCTATTGTTAAAGTGCAGTTCAACATTAGATACCAAAAAAAAGGTTGAATGTTAACAATTTAAAAATTACAGCGTTACAATCTTGATTTAAAATTTCATTTAAATAAAATAAAATATTCTGAAATAATACGATGCTGCCACTGGAGCTGGGACCCTCAAGACCAGAGCAATCACCATACGAGGTCTACGTACAAACGTACAAAGTGTGCAAGTCCCCATGGAGTTAAGCAAAGAATACGCAAATGTAATCGGGTGCAAAAAGCTGCTTGTTTTTATGTATGTAATTTTATATCTAGGTATAAATCGATACATATCTACATATATACATCTATAGATATGTAAGTGAGCTTTTCATATTAAATAACAGCATTTTTACTGCATATGCTTATATTATATGCATATACATATACGGTACATAAACAAAAATAACTCATTTGACAATTGTCTGTCTTTCTGTCTGTTTGTTACGGCTAACTTTTAACTGGATGGACCGATTTGACTGGACTTTTGGTAGGTGAATTGTTGTTTGTACCAATCAATATTTCCCACCTTTAAAATGTCGTGGTAGGCAAAAGGCACGTATACAGATCACACGGGTTTTTGAGTGCCGTGGAACCGGCACGGATCAGCAACGCCAGGACACCCAGTAAGACTATAAAACGTTACCTACTACAACTCGTCCGTTCTACACAGACAGCGTTGAATTTACTCAGATTGAATAACAGAATAGATATACTAGTAGAAGGAAGCTCACAGAAACTAAACAATCGAAGCAATAATCCGGGGCGACCCTCAATGTAAATAAATGAACTATAAATTGTATTGTGAAGCCGTAATCCCGGTTGTTATCAAGCGCAGACAGCGCTAGGGGGTCGCTGAAACAAATGACGATTGACCACTTGAAGGTATTGCAGAGCTATCATACTAAGCACTTTGATACAATATAGTGTTTAATAGCGTATTCATTGCATTGTTTTAAGACTCCCAAATGGTTTAAAGAAACCTGCGTATCGACATTCGTATCACAATTGGGTAGTTTCCTAGGTCAAAAATATTTTAATTCGACGTTTCAATACAATAAAATATAGAAAAATACTTAACTATTATTTTATTCATCGATCGATCGATACAATAAGTTTTAGATATTTTTTAAGAAATAAGTAAGCTATTTGATGCAAAATTACTATGATTTTTGACGTTTGGATAAAAGTATTGAATTTGACTGGTTAGAAACTACCGTATTCTTTCAAAAAAATGCACAATTCTTAATTCGAGTCTACCCGCCTTTCTCGGTCGACCTAAAATAACAACTTACTCCACGCGAATAAACTAACAAAAAAAACTCTACTAGTTATAAGAGTCCCGTTGTGACTCGAAATTAGAAGTGCTTTTTTCAAAACATTCACGTGAAGAAATCGTTATTTTCATGCTGTCGCGTCAGAATGTTTGTATAAGACAGTGACAACAACAATTTTATTTGTCAGATAACATTTATCTGACTATTGAAAAATCAGCCCTAAATGCATTAATTATGTCTCATGATAGTTACTATTGAAATTACTCATATAACACAACTTAATAAAAATAACTCACTTTTACCTTTTACATAGGTAAGATTCAATAAAACGAATCAGCACCGTTGGCCAGTCTTTAGTTAACCCCCCACTATTAAGTAAATTAACCTTTAATACTGCTATAAATCTGTCTGTGCACTCCCTAGCTAGGGGTGGGTGACCCCCAAGGAGCCCCCACATAGGTGAGTACTGACCCCATAAGTAAAATGTATAGTGACGTCATAATAACACATTATTATTATGACTGTGTAAATATACTAGGGATTTATAACGTGTCAGTATTTTAGTTGTTTGCTTATGTTTGATTATGGAATACAAGAATTAAAAAAAAATGTCTGTGATTAATTTGCTTTTGTTTTGTAGACTTGGATGTACTTATGAAATACTACTAATCACTACATAATATAAAGTAATGTCGTTTTCTATGTATGCTTAAACCTTTTAAACTACGCAACGGAGTTTGATGCGGTTTTTAAATAGATAGTGTGATCGATCGTGAGTGTGGTTTATTTTATCTATAGGTAGTAAAATTCATTAAATAGTGGAAAAATTGAGTATCGTGATCACACACGTGCGAAGCCAGGATGGGTCGCTAGTGTACAATAAACGACAAAGTTGGTCAGTAGGGAAGGATTAATTTTTGTTACTATATTACGTTAAGACTGTGTATAAATAAAATTACGAACCAATATACATTCATATTGTGAAGTATTACATAGACTAATTTTAACCCTGGTATGTACGGGCGAAGCGAGAAGCTATTAGGATTGGGCACAATTTCAGGTATCTAGCTGGAACAATACTTCCGATACACCCGAAACAGATTGTTCAGTAGTCGCATTTGTGGCGACTTTAACAAAGAGTCAGTGGTCAGTTTACTTTGTTACATTAATAAAATAATTATAGAACCTTTTTTATGTCATAGGTCGGCAAACCAGCAGACGGATAACCTGATGGTAAGCAATCAGCGCCACCAATGGATACTCGTAATACCAATTTAGTCACTATAGGTGCTTTGCCGACCTCTTGCGGGTTGTTAGGCATTTGTGGACAGATGTCGGAGGATTGAGCCTCCGGTAACGTCACTCACGCGGCGAAACACAACGTTAGCGTTGCTTCACGCCTATTTTGACAATAGCGTTGTTTCACGCCTGTGAGGCCGTTGTATCACATCGGGCGAGCCGGCCCAGACATGTCATAGTATGACTCTCCCTCCCGTCCTAAAATGACACTAAACAAAAAATATTATGATGAGGTCACAGACAATTTCAACCTCCTTTCAGATATTTGTTTACATTGTCAGTAAGAAATATTATATAACCTGTGCCTACATGCCGTTACCGTGTGAGTGAGTTATGTTGACCTCCCCTGCCAGGAGCGCCCGTGATAAAGCACGCCGCTTTTGTTTCATTATTTGAGAACCCCTGGCTTGTTCCCTAATGTACGTAGTAGGTAGGAAGTGAGTAGGTACTGAATTATTTTGAACTCGTTTTCTTTATGACATAGATTGGCAAACTCGTAACACTAAAGGAGTTCCTACTTTTGGATTCGGGGATAGAGGATACGATTCTCCCCTACCCCAATCTCTAAATCTCCATATCCCTGATCCCCTAAAAGTCGGCAAAGCACTCGTAACGCCTCTGCTGGTGTCCATGGGTGGCGCTGATTGCTTACCATCAGGTGGCGGTCTGCTATATGAGCAGACCGCCTCCTATTTCATAAAAAAAATCCTAAACAGACTAGAATTTTGTTTTTAAATCGGTTTAACCTTTCACTCGTGACATTACTTAAGTATGTGGGTAGTAAGGGTATATTGAAGTCGATATATTATCGCCAGCTGTGTCTTCGACTACTAAATTCACATAAAAACCTGTTTTAACATTAAAATACGTTTCCTTACTTTAACAGAGTCGACAAATATCGATAAGGAGTTGTTTAAGAATCAATAAAAAATGCCTTCGAAAACTTGAAACGGTTTGCCCTTTCCACCCAGATAAAACATTCGACACGAAAATATTCTACACAATCAAATATCAAAAACATAATCAAATAAATTAACAGAAACCAACCAAGCATTCGAAAACAATTATTAATGTTTTCATTTTAACATTGAAATTGGCTTGAAATAATTACTTTTTGCGTAAAATAGAACGCTATTTAAATTAAATAGGTACCTATGTTGGAGCTTTATTAGGTTGCAGGGTTGTCCGTCACCCGAGCAACAAGTTGGATCAATAGAGTTATAGTCCGGAGTTGTATCGGGTAGGGTCACTGTGCAAGGTGACGTTATCGAAGTGACGACATGGTCGGTGTTACGAAGCTTAAAGACAAACAGTCCATCTATTTTGGACATCCTTTCCATTTCTGGAAGGTGAGTTTCTTTTGTTTACCAATTGCTGTAATTTTCACGCACGGAAAAATCCACAATTTGTTATTCCGTGGCTGCGTGTGATGTGCATGTGGAATGTGGTGGTAAAAGCGCCCTCGATACCGAATTAATCATAGTGGTTGTAGCTAAGAATATGTTCACGATACGTTTGGATTATGGATTACTAGCGACTCGCCCCGGCTATACACGGGTGCAATGCTGCTACTAAATTTATCCAGTATTTAATGGTATTTAATCAGTATTTAATATTATGCATATAAAACTTCGTCTTCACTATTAAAATAAACAACATTAAAATCCGTCGCCTAGTTTTAAAGATTTAAGGATAATAAAGCGACTTTGTTTCATACAGGGCTTTTCTAAATTAATAGGTGTTCGTATTGTGGAATTGGAGACGGAGAGTAGACTTTTTAACGCCTTCGTGCAGTCCAAAGCGTTTTTTTTTTGTGATTCATATTCTCACTGACTGAAACCCCCACATTCCTACTCCTGCTCTGGGCCGTGGTTGTAGTGCCTCATTGCGCTTATCCCGCAACCCCAGCTGAACATCAGTCCTTTAGAGTCTGTGGTGGTCTATTGGCTCTTTGATTCGCGCGCGGAACGCTACGCGCTGTACGCTAGGGTCTGGTTCTGGTCGGGCGGCGAGCTACCCTGACTCGCCGTCCGCAGACCCGCACTTACGATAGCCGGAGACCGTCTCCCGACAGTTCAAGGCGTACGATTTATTGCTTGTTCCGGAGTTCATCTATATAATCTAGTCCCGCTAGTTAGACGGGACGACCGAGTAATTGAGTTACTGTATCCGAAGTAGGTGCAACTAACTTTAACTTATACGGAACGTCTAAAGCTTACTTGATGAGATAAATTGGGGCATTGGATTGCTCAAAATTGAACTTTAATCGCTGATCATAAGTTCGACACTGGATTTTGTTTACTAGAAGTCAATTGTTTATTGTTGATTGCGATGACTCCACATGCTAAACTGGGACCCCCTTATTATAAAACAAGGTTTATCTTTAGTCCAGGTTTAAACCATTGAATCGGGTTTTGAATTTTGAAACTTATTGTCATCTACCTTCAATTCGAAATACGAAAACTGGCTCAATGGCTTAGTCCTAGACTAAAGTAAAACCTTGTTTTGTAATAAGGCCGGGAAAGTCAAAAAGATAAACCTCAAGCTCAGCCACTATTTGGTTGCCTCACTTTAAGAGTTTTTTTATTTTGAACGAATGGGTCGGCTCGACCGGAGTGATACCACGGCCTCACAGAAACTCGGCGTGAAACAAACACAGCGTTGTGTTTCGTCGTGTGAGTGAGGTTACCGGAGGCCCAATCCTTCCCCTCCCCCAATCCCTCTTCAATTCCTAAATCTCCAAATCCCTAATCCCTAAATGGTCGGCAATGCACTCGCAACTCCTCCGTTACGGGTGTCCATGGGCGGCGCTGATTGCTTTCCATCAGTTGATCCATCTGCTCGTTTGCCGACCTATAACATAAAAAAATACAAATGTAAACTCAACACCAATACCTTTTTTATAAACTTCTTAGGGTCAATAAAATACAAATTCAAAATATTTGATTTATATAAATATTCCTTTTAACTAATCAGAATAGGTTTATATAAACAAAAAGTCCCTTGAAAAGCCCTACATAGATTTACTAAGAAAAGTATGTAGATATGTACTTACCTACGAAACTTCATTAAATACAATCGTTAGGTCAAAGACAGCTGCGTATAACATAGTTGCCATTCTAAGTTGATATAAATCCGAACTTACAAAGGGCAGACTAAGGACAAGAAAATCGAATGCTACATTTAAATAATTACACTGATTGGTTTAAAGGGGTCGTACGATTCTTGTTAACATTGATTCGATTTTACGGATATCGAGAAAGGGCGAAAATATATTGAGTCGATATTTTAAACAGCGTTTTTTTAAACACTAACGGCCTTTTTACAAAACAAGTTTTTTTTTAGTCCAGGTCCAAACCATTGAGCCAGTTTTTGTATTTCGAATTGGAGCTAGGTGAGAATAAGATTCAAAATTCAAAACCTGACTCAATGTTTTAAACCTAGAAGTAAAGATAAATCTTGTATTGTAATAAATGTAAAAAGGATAGCAGTTATTTTTATTTAAAAAACGTTGCTCCATACTAGGATTTTCTCCTGCGTCGCCGTGGGTGTGCTTACAAACATACAATGTCACATGTACATGACACCCAGATCCAGAACAACAATTTGTGCATCACACAGAGAGTTGTTTCGTGCACGATTCGACCCGCAACACCAACCGTGCAGTCGAGTTACCGACGGACAATTTTTTTATCAAATCAGTATTATTCATTGACGTGGTGGCGCGGAAACTAAAGGACGTGCTTCTCATTTATGAATATACATTCTATAATAATTATTTAGACACTACTGAAATATGGTGAAGGAAAACATCTTTAGAAATCGCCACTCTGCCTTGAGCAAGCGTGATGATTAATGCTCAAACGCTTTTGCTCTCAGTGGGAACTTATATAGGACAAGCTGAACTGATAATTTGAAGACTGAATATTCATTGACGGTTTTGTCTAACAACGTAACTTTTTTATTAATTAGACGGTCAAACAGACAAACCGGCAGACCTGATAGTAAGCCATCAATACCTCCCATGGACGCTTGTTACACCAGAATGTTCAAACAACATAATAACAATACAAATGGATTTCCAGCCCTTTTATGGAATTAGAGTCATCAATACTTATGACAAACTAACTGATTAACAATGACATGGTAGGATACCTACTTATTTTTCAGCCGGGATTGCGGGTTGAATGGACGTGAGTCACCTCAGCCTCGGCTCAGAGCAGGAGAAGGGACGGGGTGGGGTTTTAGTCAGTAAGTGTCTGACACTCTATCTCGCCTTACCCTGGGCGGGAGAAGTCATTTGATGATTTTCCACTGACAAAAAAGGGTACCTGTTTATTTGTTTAAAAGTTAAAGGGTCTTTTCAACGTTTTAATAAACTAAGTGTAGTTACAACAAAATGAAGATGATTAACGAACGGTCTAAATTAAATCAACGTTAAAGCATTTTAATTACTTAATACTAATTAATATTGAAGCAAGCAACATTATAATTAATCATTTTACATTTTGCGCGAGTCATCATCGGTTTGAAAGCATCGATCCTTCGTGTTTGCGCAGCGTAAACGAAAATATCGGAGCCGATTTTGTTTATAAGTAATCAATTTCGTATTTTTTTGCAATATTTACCTAAATTTTTTGTACTTCGCTTATACGCATGTCTTTAAAATAATATCTAATTTCGTAAGCGGTTAGTACAAGTTTAAAATAAGAAAATAAAAAAATCTCGTAAGTATTTTTAAGAAGGTAAATTATGGAAATTTTCATGTAATCATTTTTGATTAATAACCCGTCCTTGTTACATACACCTATAGTTGTTTGCTTAATACGTCTAAGTAGTCACGTTGCCGCGTTGTAACAACGTACTATAATTACCTGAGTCTGAGGCTGCGGGGTAAAGCACAATGAGGAACCGCGGCCTCGGCTTAGAGCAGGAGAAGGAACGCGGGGCAGTTAATCAGTAATGATTAACGCCCCCCCCCCCCCCCGCGATTACTAAATATAATAATAAAAATGCATCTTTGACCTTCAATATCTCGAGAACCCTTGGAGTCCCAGCTATGGTCTTAAAGAAAAAAATGATCCAAATAATGGGTAAAATACGTGGCTTTCGGCTTCGTTAAGTGTCTTTTTACACCCTGTATATAAAGAGAAATCAGTTGCTTGACCAAAACCTGGTAGGTATGTCATATCGCTAGGATTAGTATATTCCAAGCAGTTAAATAATGAAGTTCTAGAAACATGTACCAGATGTCGCGTCCGTATGATGATGATGATGATGATGATGATAATTTGTTTATTAATACTGACTCTTTCACAGGAACGACAACGCTTGGAAATGAAGACGACTGTTGACGTGGAAGAAATGAAGAAACTGACCGACGTCGTGGACTATGATCTCGTGCATTTGCAAAAGTAAGTGATTAATTATTTACAAAACAGATTTTTATGAGATAGCCCGGAAAACGAACAGACGAATGGTAAACAATCGGAACCGCCCATGGACACCCGCAACATCAAAGGAGTTACTAGTGCGTTAGGTTAGGTTAGGTTAGGTTTTAATGATTAGGGTTTCGGATATTTAAGGATTGAGGAGAGATGGTGGGAAGTAAAGGATTAGGCGTCCGGCCTCACTCACGCTGCGAAATACACCGCTGTGATGGTTTTAAGACGGTTTTCTGTGAGGCTGTGGTATCACTCCGATTGAGCTGACCCATTCGTGCCGAAGCTTGGTATATTACACTTCTTTAATCATAATGATATTAAATTTATTTGGAACGTATCCAGATTCATAGCAATATGTCGCCAAATCTAGGGACCTGATACGTAAGTTGTTTTTTTTTAAAGTATATCAGAAACTTATGCGAATTTGTAAATATTAGTATCGACATATAAGCAAAGTCACAAGCAAAAAATACTTAAGTAATAGTAGTATAAAATTGTATTTCTCAATCACATAATGATATAAGACGGGGTTAACATACCCATTCCAAAAAAAGATTGATGCCAAGCTTATATTTGATTTATTAGTAACTCCATCAAACCGTGGCCCTCCATCAAAACATTGAAAGACAACTTGAATTTACAAAAACGATTCGCCGTCTAGACTTAGTCAAATATTAATGAGCTTGCGACTTTTACCGACTCACTGATGGCGAAGTAACATGACAATGCACTAATCACAAATTTCTTTAACGTAAAACGTTATTTAATGATCTAGAACTCTTTCGAACATTCCAGAATTGTAATCAATAGAACACAAGAAAAGGTTAAGGAGTTACTAAGCCAAGAAGAAATAAAACTATGACAAAGAAGAGAAAAGTTGAAAGAACTGCTTGAATCCGAAGAAGAGGCGTTGATACAGGAACTGGTGACGAAGCAGGAGATGGAGGAATGCGGATACTGTAAGGAAAAAGAGAAGAAGCATAAAGGTTACCTAGAAGAGATTGAAAAAGAGAAAATAAGAGAATGTCAGAAGGCTTTGGAGAGGGAGAAAATGTAAGTTGTTCTTTTATGATACATTGCCATGACTATCACTAAGAAGAGCGAAAAAATATAATAGTTAGCAAAAATACAGCCCTGATCAAGTCCGCACTTCATCTTTGAACATCAACTTACAATATCCATTAACAAACAAACAAGAAAACAAAATAAAAATGTTTCCCTATTAGTCAGATTACTTAAATCAAAAACCGTAGTTATTTAGTGGTACACGCCAACAAGGCAGGCCACAGCGTTGGCACACTGCCCAGAACGTCTGGCAATAACTTATGTATTGTGAGGAACTAGGCTGGGATAGCTTTATGTAACTTAGAAGCAAAAATTGTGTTTATGTTGGCTGTGTTTTTGCTGCTACAGGAAGCTAAATTTCCGATGTGTTTGTACGTGTATTTTTATATCATACGTCTACCTACAAGCAAGCAGACGGATAACCTGATGGTAAGCATTGGCTCCGCCCATAGACACTCATAATACCATTCTCTACCTCATTTATCACGGGGAGTGTTCTGAGGAATTGTTTGGTTTGATCCCCGCCGCATCTTTTCGCCATCGCTCCACGCGAAAACTTTTTGATCCCCATCACATAGATGGTTGGCAGTCAACAACTGTGTGATTCACCCGTAACTTTCTGCCTCGCACAGCAAGACTTTGGAATGATCCTCCGGCGGCGGTATTCCCGAACCGATACGACCTTCAAACCTTCATAAAACGAGCGTACTCCTTCTTAAAAGGCCGGCAACGCACCTGTGACTCCTCTGGTGTTGGAGGTTACTCATAACAAAACAGACTATTACGAGCATCTCCCGTTAAGATAGCAAATCAATTATTATTTGACACCGCTACCGTAATCTAAATTAATAATTACAGAGCAAAAGGTACAAAAGTGGATGTGAAATGTCTCAAGCAACAACAGTTGATGCAAGTCGAAGAGAAGAGGTGCATCGAGAGGCAAGAACAACATGTAGATATGATGTGGCATCAAGTCCTCATGGATGATTGCAATAGGAAGGTCAGTATGATGGAGAATATCGTACATTCTTGTTTGAGATCAAACATTCTTTTAAAAACTATTTATCAAATGAGAAATACGAAGGAAAAAGTGTCAAAGTTATGATAATTGATGAAATTATAAAATAAACTCATGCATGAGGTTCGAAACCTGCAAGTAGGTACCAATGTGACGTTTTCCAAGTTATATGTAGTTTCTACGATCATTTCGATACCACTGACATACGGTTAAAGAAAACATCGTGAGGAAACCTGGACTTATAATTTCTAATTATAAGTTTGAAATCGCCAATCCACTTTGAGCAAGCGTGGTGATTCACGCTTAAACTTTCTCCGTGTGGGAAGAGGCCTTGCTCATCAGTGTGCACTACCAGGCTGACGATGTGAATAAGTGGATGTGATAAAATAAAGTATTTATTACCAGCTTAATTCATCAAAAAATATGACCTCTGTCTTCTAGGAGCATTTAGAAAGATTAGCAGCTCAAAAGAGGCAGCAAGAGACAATTGAAAGGCGAAGATGTTACGACGAACAAATAGCGAGCGCGAACAAGAAGAGACAAGAACTGATACGACAGGAGAGGGAGAAGGAAAATAGAAAGTTTGAGAAAATCAAGAAGAAAATGGAACAAGATCACTATGAAGGTAATCTGTGTATAATCCTATATGTAAAAATTAGTCCCATTTTTCCGCGGACATGGCATCACGTGTTATTAACCAATATCGACAATTTTTTTTTTGTTTCTGTAAAGATTAGAATATTGTGGAACTAATGGGCATTATTGTTATGTAATCCTTTTGGCGCTGTAGCGATTGGCTGGGAAAACAAATTATTGACACCAAGTTGTATAATTCTGTGGATCTGGGCGAAGCAAGTGCGGGCCGCTAGTATTAAATAAATATACACACAATACAAACCATTAATTACTATATCAAATAAACGAATTTTGAAGTTGTCGACCTTTTAGAAGCTATTTGCTCTTTCCAAAATGTAGATTCATATGCAGAAGAAAAAGTTAAGAAACTTCATTATTATTGCTCCCTTTTGAAAAACACTATTACTTTTTTATATTTCTCGTTAATCACCAACTCCCCTGGCAGTTAACGGACATACTGCAATAAGTTGTAACAGAAAAAGTACCCTCATAAATCATGAAATATTAATTGTTTTCAGCAATCAAGAAGAAGAAGGAACAACAAGAGACGAACAGAAAGAACTTCATAGAAGGACATGAGCAGAAACTGATGCGAATCAGAAGCGAAAAGATGAGAGCCAGGGAGATAGATAATGGAACTATACGAGTGGCACTGGAAGAACTGCGGAAAGAACGGGAGAGGAATATGATACAAATGGTGAAGTACATATAGAACTATGTTTGGATGAATGGTTTTATACAGGTTAACTAAGCTTTCAATACTTAAGTAACCTGAAAAGCAATCACAGCACATCAGCATTTGCTTAATAACTCGTCATAAAAGAACAATCTCTACTTAAACATCAATAAAAACCTGGCCGATCAGGGTTGGATGTTGGCCAAATATATCAAGGAGTGTTCCCCAAAGTGGCCCCTGATCTTCAAGCCTCGAGTGAATAGGTTGCTTACGGGTAGGCCTGCTCCATCATCCCTTTCCACCAAGCGTGATAGCCTCTATCACAAATGCCTGCCCAGAACGAAATAAAAAATAGTGGCGTAAGCAATAATGTAATTTCTTCCACAGAAAAACCTGCAAATAGAAAAGCAGATTTGCATCAAAAACTACAACTGTGCTAGACGAATGGCGTCCGCTATGGAACAGGAGGCAGAGATGATAGCGGACGAATGGCAGCGGCAGGCGCAGGAAAAGGCAGATGAACATATGAGGCAGGTCGAACAAGAACAACGATTATGCAAAGAGGTTAGGTTTTAAACAGTTGTGTGTGTGTGTCCTCTTCATTCATTGTAACAGCAATGTGTGTAAGAACAGGCATTTCACTGTCTTTTATCTATAGGTACTAGAAGACCTGCACCACTTATTGATGGAATGTGTTCGATATGAGCCTGAGAGAAATGACTTGTTTAGGGTCTTGAAGTTGAACAGACTTGAAGTAGGAACATTCCACAACATTTTATTCAAACCGAATAGCGATGATGCGAAGAGTCTGTTTAGATTCATGGCCTTAATATAAGTAGAATGCATATATTTAGGATACGATGGGACTGACATACCCATAGTGATTATAAATGTCCCTAAATAAATAAAGAAAAAAAAATCTATAGGTACTAACATCATACAGAGGTAATTGTAAGTTTGTATTACCTATACTTATATAAAAGTACTTACTCTGTGATTTGTGTGTAGAGGATAATCTTTGGAGCCGCTGGTTGAATTTTCAAAATTATTTCAATGATAAATAGCTACAATGTTCCTGAGTGCTAGGTATAGGGTATATTTAGTTCTTGCACGAGAAGCAGTTCCCAGAAGACGCGGGCGAAGCTGTGTGATACAGCTAGTCATAGATATGAGGGATAATCTGCAATAAAAAGAAGTTGGTTATTCAATTCACTTAATACTGGTGAAATTTTCAACAGTTACGTTGAGAGTTTGAAAATCTCGATTCTTCTTTACCGGTGCCGTGAATATAAAACTCAAGTCCTCTTGCCCGATGGACTAAATCTAAGTAGTCAATAGTAGAAATAACTTATTTCAACATTTAAAAACAAAAAAATGACTTGACTAGATGGAAACTACTTATACTATTCATAGCATTTAATGCAAGCATTCAATAATGCTGGGGCTACACTGACGAGAAATAATTATCGCGATAATTGATAATAAAAAAAACAATGAAAAATATATCTTAAATCGTTTGCTTAGTGATCAAATTACACCAACGATTAATGTCCATTATCGCGATAATGATGGCATTTCCCGTTAGCGTGGCCCAAGCATAAGTACTACTTAACTAAAATTCTATCGTAGAAAGCAGCGGAGGAATACAGACGTCACGTTCAAGCTCGAAATCGGGCGTTAGAGGAAGCAAAGCATGAGAGGAGCCAGCGAATGGAGCGGGTGACGAGGACGGCACTGACTGAGCTGCAGCAGAAGATAGACAGCGCCAACCAGGAGTTGCGGAGACAAGCCGAGTATAGAAACAGTTTGAGCTGCCAGATCAGAGAAAATGAGAAACACTTGGTAAGTCAAGAGGCAAGAAAGCCTCATCTATTGAATAATCCATTTACTGACGTAAATTAGATTTAGGTACATTACTTCGAAATATTTTAAGTTTTAAAGATAACTTCATTACGGTGGGTATTTTTTTTAACGTCATCCCACACTAGTACCTATTTTCTCCTGTGTCGTGGGTGCTTTTACAAACATACAATTTCACATACACATGACACCCAGACCCGAAACAACAATTTGTGGATCACACAAAGAGTTGTTCCGTGCGGGAATCGAACCCGCGGCACGTTGCGCGTCAACCAGTTGCCCAGCCACCGCGCTAACCGTGCAGATCAAACATTGATTATTTAATTGTTGTTTTTCCGTGTTGTTTCGTTCGGGTTTTATACATATTTAATGGTATTGTATTGTTTATAAAAAGACTTTTCTACGAACCATACCTACGTGAAAATTGATATACCTAATTAAGTAGAAATGGTTTCGTTTACATTAAAAACCAAAAATTTTGGTACCTAAAGTCAAATTATAACTGATATCACTATTTATACCTACAATTTACTTTAATACTTAAGTAGATCTAACTTTTTTAGAAAAGAGACAGAATTTTCTCACATCACTAATAATTAATCATTTTACTTGTAGGAATCCGAATTAATAAACATAGAAAAGAAGGACAGACCTCACACCAAAAAGGCTGCAATGTTCATGGATGTCATGTCAACGAGATATGCAAGCTCTCCGGCGAGAACTAGGTAGGTCCACACTATAATCAAAATAATATTTACCAAACGATGTGGGAAATGACAATCAAATATTATGAGTCAGTCCCTGTCGTTTACAATAAATGTACTAACCTACCTAAAAAAATAATCGATTATATCTCGTAACCATTTATATTATTTTTTACTTTACAGTACAAACCCTGTTCATCCATTTCGCCGGTTATTGGAGACCACCGATAAGAAGAAACCTCTCCATTTACCATCAATAGGATAGTTTGGTTGCTTTGAACAGAAAAATGTTGAAAATAATAATATTATTAGATAATTTAAGTCATAATTTTTAGTATTAATTACATCCAAGTTAAAAACTTTTCCATTTGTTTTTATTTTATCATTTTATTCAGTGGCCTTTGATTCTTTGATATTCTCCAAATTACTAGGCTATCGCCATCTATTGAATTACTTTTGGAGTATTACAGTGCCATCTATTGGGGAGTTCTTGAACTGGCCAGCAGATGGAAACTCATAACTGTTACATTACATGCAGCAAGATGACGCTAAGTACCAAAGTTGCTTGTTTTTGTTAATTTCTTAAATAAATTAAAAATACATTGTAATCTCTTTAATTTATTACATTTTACAATAAAAGAATCAATGTGATTTATTATACGTATATATTTCAATATAATTTCACAAAACAATAAATACGAGACGAAATTCATCTAAAGAAAACGGAACGGTTTTTCCAGTTGACGGAGGAAAACTTAAAAAGTTTTCAATTTCAAAAACTTTAGAAAATTTTGCGTAGAAAAAACTAACGGTTCATAAATAAGACAGATGTGGGTATTTCAATATAAACTAAAGCATTTGAGATGTTTGTAATGTGATTTATATTTTATAGTAAGTGGGTGATTGAAACGCACATGTTACTTTATCATGATAGTTTGCGCAGTTCGAAATTCTGAACTCAAAACCATGCAAGAAGAAGGGAAAACTCCACAAAACTCCTTAGAAAAGTGTTCGTACCGGTTTCTGCAGCAAACTGCAAAGTCTATGGGCTTGCCATCAAACGTAAAGGTAAAAAAGTTATATTTACCAATTTTGCTTTCGCACATGTTAAAAGTTCTATGGAATTGATGAATTCGTTTCCACTGCCATTGCAAATAAGATTTAATTGCATACTTAAATAACAACACGTTTATTACCCAGGAAGTAAAATTCTCTAATATGTCTTAGAAGAAAAGGTAAATAATTTGTCGTTTTTATAAAAGCATACTTATTTGATAAGGGATGTGCACAAAAATATGTTAAACTAGTCACTTCATTTGATTTAGGCATTTTCCCTAGGGTCCTAGGGATGTTGTGACTTGACCATTCCCACACATTTGTGTGTACTTAGAAAGGATGTTTATAAAAATGTGAATTTTCAGGTCCCAATTTACTTAATTAATGTAAGATTTTTCTTTGTTGCTTGTTACATTTCTCACAAGTTACAACTGTATATAATAAGTAGACAAATGATATTTATGTTACTAAATAGAATATAAATAGTATAGAATAGCTACAAAATAGAACTTATTTAAACACATCAATATTTTAAATTAGTTGGCCTTGGACCCTTGGTTCAGCCAAGGCCAAGCAGGTATTTCATATCCTATCTGACTTCTTAGAGAAACTGAGGTAAGTCTTTGCTCATGAATCTTATTTTAATTGTATTAAATTAATGTTACAGAAAATGTACCTGATTCAGTTGATCAATGCCAAGAGGTTTAGCAGTGAGGAAGCCGTAGAGCTTCTTGTAAAGCAAGTGCGTCAGGAACGCCAGCACTGTTCATTGTTACGAAGGAAATCTGCTAAAAGTCGCCAAAAGAAGAATGCACAGGTAAATCATACATATAGTCATGACTTCATTCCATGCAAGGATAGAAAAACTGTAGCACTGTTCTGTGTGCTTCATACTTCGTTGGATTCTAACACAATGTTCTCAACTCTAGACTAACACAGCTATAAACAGCTAAGCAATTTACCTATTTATCTTATTCTTAATTATGTAGGTATTCCTTAATACATACATGAAAAGCCTACAATTAATTCCCTTTGTTTTAATATAGTAAAAACTCAAAACATTAATTTTAATAAATTCACAGCACAGTTTGCACCAAAAAAACTTAAAACTATTTAATCATCTCTTTCAGCAAAGTCCAGAGATATCTTCGACAAGCAATGGACAGTCACCTCCTATTACTCGGACACCGAAACGTGTCAGTCACATCCTCATTCGGTACAGTCCAGAAGTCCATTCGCCAAACAAATATCCTCGTTCTCTACAAAAAAGCATCTCTATAACGAGCAGTGATCGAGTGCTTCGGAGCTTCAACCGGGTTAAAAAACCAAGTTACCTACTCAATGAGAATTTAATGAGTATGCTTAACAGTCCAGAAGAGAGAAACGAAAGAGTTAGTGATACCAATAAGGTAGAAAAGTGCAGAATTGTGAAGAGAGTATTTGCTAAAAAGATTTTTGATGGCCGCCATTGTTTTAAAGGTGGAGAGTTAGTGCCATTGCACAGAGATGCGGTAAGCTTGCAATTTACTTTTTAAACATTGCATAGTATTTTGTTTTTTAGCTGTAAATTCCTATGGATAGGATTCTTGCTTAAAAACTTTAAGAATGTACATCTATACTAATATTATAAAGGGTTATCTTTGGAACCGCTGGTCGGATTGCCAAAATTCTTTCACTGATAGAGAGCTACAATAATCTGAGTGCTATAGACAATAAATCATCACGTTACGGTCAAATGGAGCCCAGCAGCGGGTGAAACCGCGTAAGAGTAGCTAGTACATACATAAAATAGCAATTTTAAAAGTTACACATAGATTTCTTAAATCTATATGTGGGATAAAGTGGGATTTTCTGTTTTTAATATTGAATTGCACAGTGCATGAACAAAAATGAATTTTTTTGCTATTTTGTTTTGTCTATGTCTATTTGTTCCAGCTAATATTTTAAATGGCTGGATTTTGACTAGATCATTTTATTGATAAGTAGCTGATATTATAAGGAACAACTAAGGCTACTCGTTTTAGAACAATTCTTTTTTTTATCACTAAAAAATACCGTGCTCTCGTGCCATCTTCAAATTTTAGGCAAACAAATTAGAGATATAGTACAAGCATATTCCTTACGACATCTTTCTTTAAAATTACAGGCCACATCACCACCACCTACAAGAAGAAAGCAAAGACTAAGTGGTGTCTACCCCCTCCAGCCTGAAGATGTGAAACTGCCCACTGTAACAGTGAGACGAGCAGATGGCAGCATCTCTAAACTCAAAGCCATCATACAGAAACCACTACAACAAATCCCTGACGTACCCATCAACCGAAAAGAACCCTTACAAATAACAGAGAGACCGCACATAGAACCGAATGTGTCTGAAATATCACAAAATCTAAGCCAAAGAACATCAAATGCGAACTCAAGCACCCCAAATTACAATAATCAAGTTTCAAACTGGTCTAGTATGGGATATAAGACCACTATGTCAGAGATTCCTTGCAATATGAGCTACGTTACTCAAAATATGGCAGTGAATTCATTCAATTACAACTATCAAGCACCAACAAACGCTTCAGATAATGTACCACAGAACTATACAAGACATAGTAACAGTTCCGAAGACACAATATCAGTTGGTTACCGGGAGAATCAGTCTGATGAGTACGGGGTGTATTATCATAAGAAGATCAGAGCCGAACAGGTTCGGTCTTTGCGGAGCAGAGAGATGGCTCGAAGTACTGAGATGGAGTGTGAACTGCCAAGGATCAGTGAAGTGTTTAGTAAATTCAATAGTGTTTATTGTAGAGATGTAACGCAACCGTTGTATGTGCAAGTTGATAATGAACCAGCGATTGGTGAGTAAATTTTAGTACTAACTTTATAACAAATATTTTTCATTTGTTTATTATACGAAATTCTGTATCACACAAACATTATTAGCCTATAAGTGTCCACTGCTGAGCAAAGACATCTCACACGGAGAACGTTCGAGCATTAATCACCACGCTTGCTCAAAGCCGATTTCCGATTCCAAACTTATAATACGAAAATTACAAGTCTAGCTTTCATCACAATGTTTTCCTTCACCGTTTGCCAGTTGTGTCTAAATAATTATAGAAAGTACATATAACTTGGAAAAAGTCACATTGATACTTGTGCTGGCTCCTTAATCTCGGGGTCCACGACCCACGAGAAACTAACCTAAGTATATTTTCAACTTGCAGCTCCGCCGATTCAGTCCTACATACCGGATCCTCGCGTCCAATACCAAGCAAATACTCCAACCTTAGAGAAGTTCTACAACTTTAAAACTACGAACCAGTCTTTATTGCAAACATCGTCGTGTAACAATACACGAACAGTTTACTGCACTCCCGTCATTTCTACCGCGTGAGTATTATAATTTAGACTCTATGTGTATGTGGTTAAAAGCTTATTTGCATTGCCTTTGAGTGATATGTTTGTTCGACAATCGGTAATAGATATTCAACTTTATTGTGAACAGCATGAGATTTAAAATCTGTTAAAAAAAATAGATATCTCAGTCAGGCCGTTTCTGCGCTTAACGGTCCTGAATCTTACTCTTATTTCACATACTTCAGCTTGCAAGGAAATGCTTGGGGTGTATAAGTAATTTCAAAACTACTGCTATAACTGCTTCCTATTGGTTTGTTAGCCGCATATTCGCAGGTACAACTGGTTAGTCGTGGTTGTAGTCACAAGGGTTCGATCCAAGGGTTTGACAGTTTCAGAATAAGGCATTTTCAACTTTGTGGCTGGGCTATAAGGTTGAAAATCTATTAAATAAAAATAAATTGACTTTTTAACTGTGTTAACGTAAAACAGTCTCAGTCAGAACTATCGGTACCTATATACATATCTAATACTTGCTTTGAACGGTACCTAAATTTTTGAATCGCCGTAAGTGACTGCCCAATAAGGGAGATAGATATGTTATCCAACTTCTCACTATTACTATAGTGAAAGTTTGTAAGAAAGTATGTAGGTATGTATGTTACTCTTTCACGCTAATACGGCTGAACAGATTAGGTTGTAATTTGGATAGGTGATACCTTGGATTACCACATACGCTTCTATCAACTCACCACTCGGGGAAGCTTTTTTTGATTTATTTTTTTTTGTCTGGGGAAAATCATCAAATGTCCTCTTCCGCCCAGGGTAAGGCTAGAGGGAGTGTCAGACTCTAACTGACTAAACGTGACGGAACGGGAGGGGGGAGGGGGGGGCTCCCGTTCCTTCTCCTGCTCTGGGCCGAGGCCGCGGTGACTCATTGCGCTTACCCCGCAACCCCTGAACATCAGCCCTATAGGGCCCCGTCTGTGGTGGTCTAGTGGCTCTTTGAGGAGCGCGCGGAACGCTACGCGCCGTACGCTCGGGCGGAAGCTAGTACTGTATAATTATGTGTAATTCACCTCTGCCTGTGTACCTGCACTGCTATGCCTTGCGCCTGAGTTTGCTTGTGTTGCTTGCAGCAAGGCGCAACCCTCGTCCGCTCCAAGCCACGCCCTCTATAACATTGCTTGTGAGTGCGCTTACTTTCTCCTAACATACAAAGCTTGCATGTCTCTTGTCAATACTCAAATAACTTGTCTGTAATTTTCTATACTAATATTATAAAGAAGGGATTGCTTGTTTGTTTGTTTGATTTGAACAGGCTCTGAAACTCTTACACTGTTAGGAAGCTAAACTATCCCAGGTAAACATCTATATATATATACTATATAAAAATCAATGCCACTTTTCGTTGTAATTTTATAACTCAACAATGCCCTTACCGATTGGACTAATTTTGGTCTTGAATTATTCGTGGAAGTCCAGATAATGTTTTTACGAAGAGAAATTTGAAAAAAAAAACTTAAAATAGTGAAATCGACATCCACGCGGGCGACCTCTAAATGCTATAAATTATGCTATTTTAAACTGTTGGCAAAGCTAATCACTAAATAGCATAAAACAAAGTCGCTTATTCTATCTTTTTTATTTAATAGAGAGAGTGACTGAAGAGGAAGGTTAAGGGTAGTTCCGGATATGGGCGCGGTCAAACAAACAAACTGCAGCTTTATAATATTAGTATAGATGTGAATATATATAAGTTTGTTTCTTATCACATTGTCCTTTATTTACTTAGCCAATTTTCCTTAAAATATTGCACTAAAATAGGTACAGATAAAGCTGTTGGTAAGAGCTAGATATTTATGCTATAATTATCAAAGATAATGTTTTTTATGTAATTCAATATAACTTAAACCTGTCAGGTTTGTAGGTGATACTTCACAATACGGTAGTTTCCAACTAGTTAAATTCAATACTTTTATCCAAACGTCATAAACGATACTTTTCTATGAAATTTGTATGAAAAGCTGAGCTATGACGTCATAAAATTTTTGCGTCAAATAGCTTACTTATTTCACAATAATTACCTAATAAAATGTAAAACTTGTTGTATCGATCGATCGATGAATAAAAGTATAGTTACTTTTCAATATTTTATAGTATTGAAACGTCGAATTAATTTATTTTTTACCTAGGAAACTACCCAATTGTAGTCGTCTCACACTGTATGATGCAGTTACATAGGTAAAAGTTACGGTAACATTTTATAACAAAGAAATCAATCTTAAAAATCAACACTGCCAAACATTTCTTCCACTCAACAGTGTTCAGTGTTACAGAACATTCCACCCATGCATGCAGCTTATAATAAAGATATTCCATTTAATGTTTATAAGGCTCTTGTCACCATCAGCTCCCTATGTTGCAGCCCCGCAGCGGGATAGTCAGGGTCTGTACACGAACAACGAGGAGATGACGCGCGTTCACGATTTCTTCAGGAGTTTCCATTGTGACGATGATACTGTCCATGGTAAGTTGGCGTGTGATAAATATATTTTTTTTATACAGTAATATATATTATAATTCTTCTGATTTATTTCGTTGCGGGATCCAAGATGTCAGTCATGTCCCTGGGTCGCGTCGGACTTGAGTGTTTTGGTGTGATTAAGGTTGTATCTACTGTAGATCCTGAGTTTCTGGAGTTACAAATAATAGAATTTAATAAGCCCAAAATCTATATTTTTGTTTTTGAAAAGTTTCCGTTCCGTTTAAATCCGTTTACAAACATACGGCGTATGGCGAATATCCACCCCTACGTTGTTGAGACACCTGCGGCCCGGACTAAGCGTTTTGCCTCGTCATTTATACCGCGTACATCGAGGGATTGGAACAGTTTGCCGGCTGCAGTCTTTCCGTCCGAATACAATTTAGGTGTCTTCAAGGCTAGGGTGAATAGGCTCTTAATAAACTAGTGCGCCTTACCATCAACGATGTCATCACTGCTTACCATCAGGTGGGATCGCAGTCAAGAACTAGTTTATTGCAAGTAAAAAAAAAAAATTAAACCCTGACCTGGAATAACAGTTTGCGGATCACATAAAGAGGTATTCCATGCGGGAATCGAATTCGTCTCGCAGCCACTGCGTCAGCCGTACACTTAGAAATGTTCACTTAAAGATAATAATTCTAATAATTCCATCATCAAAGGTTTATATTCGATTCGAGGGTTCTTTAAAAAAATGTTTATTCGTTTTCACCATGGAAATAATTTTTTACAGATAGTCAAACTCTAGCGCACACAGCGGACTTTCATCGCTCGCCGTCGTCCGTAGCGACGCTGACGTCACAGGAGCAGGACCCCGCCGCTAACATCACTATACCGGAGATGGTGGAAGATGCATTCGAGATCATCAGCCAGGATGGGGTGAGTTACTTACTATCTCTTTGTTATAAGTTCTTGAGATGAGGGCTACCGTTTTACTGTTTACACGCTCGCAATACGAAACATATAGAGTCGGCGCACGGTCGGCACCACCGGAACCACGGCCTCACAGAATACCGGCGTGAAACAACTGCAGCGTTATGTTTCTCCGTGTGAGTGAAGTTAGCAAAGGCTCGCCCAATCCTTCACCTTATTTGATAGCCGCCCACATAAAAAAAATACACGGAGTAAGGGAACGTGCTTCGGCACGAATGGGACGGCTATATTGAAGTGATACCAAAAGGCACAAACACTAGCCTATGTAAAATAAAGTGAGAAATAACTGAAGGCCTTAATCCTTCCTAAAAAACTGGAATTGTGACTGTATAAAAAACGTTTTTCTTCAAGCATTTTTATAAAGCTATGTTATTAGTTTTTGCTCAACAAATATTAGAATGTATTGTCTCATTTCAGGACTATATGGAACGGATGGGAATGGACATACGGATGCAGTGCATCCTCTGCAGCTGGGCAGGACCCAAAATCATTCTCGAGTACCATATACGAAAGGTTAGTTGTTCAATGTACTTAACAGTGTATACAAGTTTTGTAACAGTGATGAACATGCTTTGACAGTCAAAAATATTACATAAAATAAGAACATGAATCAGTAAGCGTCACATAGCTTACTAATTTCTTAAAATTTTGTGTATCGACAACTCGATGATGAATATACTTAGTTAATTTTTAATATTTTATTGTTACCTAATTTATTTTTGACCTAAGAAACTACCGAATTATAATTTTTACCTCTTAATAATATTATTAGTGTAGATATTTATTTTGGTTCTTAGCGTTCATGTAATCATGTCTGATGCCGAAAAAAATGGCAAATCTTTCTTTCTTTCTCTCAAATTTATTGAAATATGTGTACAGGAGCACGCCAGTCAGATAGTAGAATGCTTGGGCAGTGAATGCGTGGCGCGGTACAGCCTGGGCGTACTGGCCGCGCGGCGTCGCTGTCTCACACACGTCTTGCAGCTCAAGGGGGACCTCTACCTACTGTCCGCGGAGTACAGGGACCCAGATGACTTCATAGCCTCGCTCTCTGTAAGTCTTTATACTTGTCAGCCTGTAAACTGAGCAAAGAAGCCTCTTAGAAGGAAATATCATTAAAAATAGCGACCCGCCCCGTCTTCGCACGGGTGCATTCATTTCAAATCATTCAATCTATTAAAAAATCCGCATCAAAATCTGTTGCGTAGTTTTAAAGATTTAAGCTTACATATAGATTAAGGGACAGAGAGAGTGACTTTGTTGTATACTATGTATTGATTACCACACTTACTTAAAGAGCTTTAATTTCCTGTTTATTATTGTGGGAAAGGGATTTTTTTTTTATGGTATAAGTCGGCAAACGAGCAGACGGATTACCTGATGGTAAGCAATCGGCGCCGCCCATGGACACCCGCAACACCAAAGAAGTTACGAGTGCGTTGCCGGCCTTTTGGGGATGGGAGTTGCGAATATAAGGATTGAGAAGGGATAGGGGAAGGGGAGGGATTGGGCCTCCGGTAACCTCACTCACACGGTGAAACACAACGCTGTGGGTTGTTTCACGCTGGTATTCTGTGAGGCCGTGGTATCACTCCGGTCGAGCCGACCCATTCGTGCCGAAGCTTGGCTCTCCCACACTTAAGATGATACATGATAAGCAATTAGTCTAGCCTGTAGACACTTGCGAGTCCTGAGAAGTAAGAAGTGCATTGCCGGCCGCTTGTTTTGGGAAGATTTTTGATGGCAGGTAGAGTTAGCATCTAGGAGAGTTACAAACAACAACACTGTTCACGTGATGGTAAGCAATCTGCGCCAACCCTTGGACCACTTACAACACTAGAGTCGGAGAGCAATGCTGGGCCTTTACAAATGGGAATAATTGAGGATATGGGGCTATAGCATGTGATCTTCTATAATTAGAGGAGAACACGACTTTTAAAATTGTATTTTTTTAATATTGCGCATGTAATGTGAATTCTCTGTTGGATCCTAATAAAATAAATAAATATAGGAATGAAGGCGAGGATTGAACAGCCGATTATCTCCCTAACAGTTGCACACAAACGCAAACGTTATTTAACTCCACAAACAAACGTGTTTGTGAGCCCTAAGTACTACTCTAAATGAGCCGGCCCATTTACGCCGAAGCATGATTCCTACGTTAATTTAAATTGTGTTTACTTTATTCTCTAAAATATCTTCCTACAGACATTGTCCTACGAGCCGGACGCTCCAAAGACCGGCAGCATGACGATATACAACAAGGTAACAGGCGAACCGTTTACTTGGCAGGGAGAGATCACGGACCTCCCACTCTGCATGCCATACGAAAATAACCCTAATTGCTTCCGACTTTCACTGTCTAGAATGGATCTTTTGCCTAACAGTGCTAACTTAAAACTATTCAATCGAGAATTGGTTGTAAGATCTCCCACAAAGGTGGTTGTTGGTCAGCCAGAGTTGGATAACATTCATATCAATCTTATTGTTAAGATTTTTGACTGAGAAGCATAGGTCATGGACTTCTAAATAGTTTATTGGTGAAAAATATAAGACTCTTGGTAAGTTTTGTCCCTTTAAATTTGGTGTTTAAGGGCTGATTTTTCAGTAGTCAGATAAATGTTATCTGAGGAATAAAATTGTTGCTGTCACTGTCTTATACAAACATTCTGACGCGACAGCATCATAATTATTCGCCAGGTAACTTTTATCTAACCATTGAAAAATCAGCCTTAACTTTTATTATGGTTTTACCATTGATCTTTTATATATGTTTAGATTAAGAAAACGTGATTACAGATCTCAGTTACTAGTAAAGTAAGTTATTTTTTATATTTTTAAACTTATTTTTTGGTCGTACTGTGTACTGATACTTAGCGCATAACAGTCATAACTATATTTAGACCTAAGCCTTTTTAAACGCCTCAAAAAGGTAATTTATTATTTTTTGTCTGTCTTTCAGTCCTTATTGAAGCTATTTACTTGTACCAAACCTGTAGGTACCTATCGAGAACTCATCCTTTTTGAAGTCTAGTAAATTCGAACTATCTCTAAGCTCGAAGTCCAATAGATTTTGGACTATATTAGCAAGGAAATTAAGTTGGAATTTAAAAAAGTTATTGTGAATACTTAAGGTTATAATCAGGTTACATGAAACCTAGCTTGTTTCAGAGCCTACCCATACTGGGAAATAATATTGTCGCCTGTATTGTTACTTGCATAAGATTAAATTTTCTATAGGATAGCGAAATAAATCAACACGAATTTTGTTTCGCTTTGTAGACTTAGCTTTAAGTTCAAGATTGAAAGTTTTGTTAAATCAACGAGTTTTAAACTCGTATTAAACTCTAAGTACAATTTGATTATTTTACAATTTTACGTGTAACTGTTTACTAGATCATAATAAATATGATTTAAAAACGCATAGTACGTTTAATCATTCAACGTACAAAATAATATTACTTATAAAATATATACTTTCATAAAACTTATGTAGTTCTTAAGATCATTTCAAATCTCTTGAAAATCCAATATGGTTTACAACCGCCATTTTGGATTCGGTTAATTTTGACATAGAGTTTTTTTAGTTGTAATGTTTTGATCAAGATAATTAGATTATCATATAAATAAAAACTTTTTATTCCTTAAATCATGTGCCATATTATTCTTACATATTTACAAGTACATATTTTGTTTTCTTTATTGCCTACTTTATGTTTTTGTTATTATTGGTACAGAGATAGTGTTTTTTTTATCAGTTATTTCTATATATGGATAGAAGTTCTTTATTAAGTTTTTTTTTATATCTTTAAAGATTGATACTCAAACGAAAACGCTAGTAGAGTGAACGAAGAAAACTTTTTTTATGGAATAGTAGGTAAAGGAGCAGACGGATCACCTGGTGGTAAGTGATCGGCGCCGCCCATGGACACCTGCAGCACCAGAGGAGTCACAGGCACTTTTGACGGCCTTTCAAGAAGGAGTATACTCGTTTCTTGAAGGTTTGAAGGTCTTGTCGGTACGGTTTTCGGGGCAAAAAGTTTCTATGTGTAGACTTAACCCGTGATATTCCGTTTCGTTAGAACGCAGATACACGCGAGACACACACCCGGTTTCTGAAAGGCTTGTCAACGCTAAAATTAACTATTCTCATGTTAAATCTCTTGTCAAGTCATCTGATTGGTTGTTGATAATTCAGTCAACCAATCAGATGACAAGAGATTAAATTGATTTTAACATTGATCGGCCTTTCGGAAACCAGGTGTTAATGTGTTTTTTATTGTTTGTCATATACCTGCAGACGAAGAAGAGGTTAATGCTCGTGCCAAAACTATAAATTGATTTTAATATTCGTTCTTTCAACTAGCGTTTAAATGCCATATAATTTCTTCGAGGGTGGCAAATTCTAAAAGTATATTTGTATTTTATAATCCTAACTTGTATGTTAGGATCCTTCCTAAACACACCTATAATCTGTACCTTTTTAATTCTGAAATTAAGACTGTATACGTTAAGAAATATAAACAATTTTTCTTAGTTTTTACTTTACAAGTTTACTATTTATAAGTTTCTAACTTAAACATATCGTTGATTTGAAGTTTGCTCTTGATATCAGTGGATAGGTAAGTCCAATCTATAAAATTCGACGCTCATTTTTTTATTTAGATAGTGATTATAATGGTTACATTTTCATTATAATGAGAAGATCGACGTTTGATTTGAATTTTTAGTTTACTTTTTAAACGTCTTATATTTTGTTTACGAAATATTATTAACTGAAAAACATACATATGTATAAGTTAATTGTGTTAGTAGTAAGATGGTCTCAATAAGTGAAAATGCTTAGCAACTTAAGTTGATTGTTGATTTTCAATAAAAAAAATTTATTTGTTTTGTTTTGACACTTTTGTTTTTTTAATTGTTTTGTTCTTTTGTTTGTAAGTTTGTTTTTGATCATGTTGTCTGTACTGAACTTGTTTTTATTCGACAATGCTAAGGTGAATTGTTCGCCAATGCATTTTGATATCTTCCTGTTGTTTTTAAGGCTGATTTATACCAAAATAAAGACGTTGAATCGATACTCTTGTTTTATTTTCTGACCTCCTTTTATATTTTTTACATTTGTTTATTTAAGTGATTTTTCAATAGTCACATAAATTTCATTTGAGGAGTAAATTTTTTGCTGTCAAACATTCTGACAAGACAGCATCATAATTTTATTTCCCAGGTATCTTTTATCTAACCATAGAAAAAACAGACCTAAAAAATATTATATAGGTACTCGTATAGTTATGCAAATGCGTTTATATAAGCGTCGACTACCACCTACATAGAATTATAACAAAACATATAAAAAGTTTTTATTACAGATATTCATGTTTTAAATACTAAAGCTGCCAGTCATAATACAATCGAAAAGTAAACAGTACATCCAATACTGTCAAAATCTGATATCTGACAGTTGTTTGTAAATAAAAATATTACTTACTTAATTATTTTTTGTACCTAATTATCGTGGTTTTTAGTTTATTGTATTAATAATGGAGCCGCCGCCCGCAGCGCCGCGAGAGCCACCTCCTAAGGACGGGATAGGTCCAAGAGGATTACCAGAGACATACCATGTAAGTGTCTATTCCTATAAAAACTCCTATACTGTTCGGTATGGTTCCGAACTGCGCAACAAGAAGCAGTGTTGAATTGACATTCTGTCACGCTCGAATTGTATCTCATCATCATCAGCTTGATGTCGTCCACTGCTGGACATAGGCCTCCCCAATTGCACGCCACTGAGCTCGATGATCAGCTCTTCTCACCACTGCCAGCCACCTTGCGGATGTCGTCAGTCCACCTAGCTGGTGGGCGCCCTACACTACGTTTGCCTAGACATAGTCTCCACTCTAGAACACGTCTACCCCAACGGTCATCGGTTCTTCGACACATGTGACCTGCCACTGCTGCTTCAGTTTGCTGAATCTTAATAATTATCTCAAATAAGCTTATGTAAATTATATGCGAAGCAGGAGTGTCGCGGTAGCGACTTGCCAGTTAGCTCCCAATAACTGGAGTTGTTGCAAAAATCAATTAGGATAGACTGATACTCTTCAGCCAAAATAAGGCGTTTATTGGTACCTAGTTGCACTTATGCAGAAAGGTTTCAAAAACTTGTCTGCAGTGTCTTTTTTTAGCTGCAATTTAAAAATTGTTAGTTTCTTTGTTAGGTGATCTCTTACGACCGGAATCATTGACGTAGTCTCGGATGGGTCCCAAATAATGGCGGGAGGGGTTGGGAATCGGTGTCGAATCGGCGATGAAGTACCTACCTGGGTCTCGTCCTCTACGAGTACTTCCGTCGTTTGGCTCCCAAGTTGGAACGGACTGGGGCTGCGCTCGAGCGGCTCCTTCCCAACCTTGCAGACTTCTGCTGCCGGAAGTTGTTTTTGGAGATCGTGCGATTCATGGCCTTCTACTGGGTTCCTGCACGTGCGCTGGTTGCGTTCCCAGAGGGTCATGGCCATCCCCATTATTTGCGGCTATCGAACGATCTCCGGGGAGGCGGCGAACCTCCTTCCCGGATCACCGCCATGGGATCTGGAGGCAAAAGCACTTGCGCGCGTCTACAGTTTGCGCGCAGACGCGCGTCGCCGGGGCATAAATCCTCCGCCGCGCCAAACTAGTGCGGCCGGGCAGGCTGTTATAGCAGCGGTAAGACCTCGCTTTGAGCGTCAGGTATCGAGAGACGATCTCTGGCCACCGTAAGCGCGGATTTGCGGACTGCTAGTAAGGATAGCTCGCCGCCCCATCAGAACCAGACACGTAGTACGGAGCGTAGCACTCCGCGAGAAACTCAAAGAGCCAATAGACCACCACAGATGGGGCCCTACAGGGCTGATGTTCAGCCGGGGTTGTTAGTTACACTAGGCTGATAAAATCTCGAGGTACCTAACAGAATCTGCTAGTAGGTATTACCTACATAACGGTCTTAATAACATGAATTAATGACTTCACGAACTTGTCCAGACGGCTCGCGTCCTAGATTCGACTGCCCGGTACGAGAAATTTGTAAGAAAGCTCCGAAACTTGGAGGAGGAGCAAAGACGTGGTGCCATCAACACTCTGAAGGATTTGAAGGACACACAGTACAACGATTTTTTTATCAGATGTGATCGAAGGTATGTTTGTAGGTAGATTATGGCCATCATCACTAGTTCAGTCATTCATTCATTAGTAAATGCGTCTTGTAAGGCATCTTCTCTCACGGAAAAGGTTTGATTAGCATTAGATAATCATGGGACTTGTTCAAGGCGGATTGGTGATTTGAAACTTAAGTTCAGTTTAATTTTCTTCACGATGTGTAACTCAAAAAACGTTTTAAAAATGAATCCTGAAGTTGTGGAGCAGAAAAGATACAGAAAACATATTTCTTAGTTTATTGATTCAACAAACCCCAAGCGAACGCCGGCTTTCGCACACCCATTGTTCTTCTTTCATGTCTCCAAATACCACAATTGAACGGTTAATATAAGCGTAGGTCTCAACGCCTTGATACAAAAGTTTCCTAAACAGGTCCTTAGCGAGTCGAGTATAGTTAGGAATAACTTCTCATTAATTGCAGATCGCTAATAAACAACGTGGCTCGAAGAGTTGATCTCTGCATGGCGTCGTATCAAGAAGATCTGAAAGCTAAGCGACAGAGGTAAATAATAATGTTTAAACATGTCTATTTATTCACTAAATATAAGAAAGGGCAATGAACACAGATCTCTCTGATGAACAGCGCTGTGTTTCGCCATGTGAGTGAGGTTATCAAAGGCCCAATACCTACCCCTCCCCCATCACTCCCAATCCTTAAATATCCGAAACCCTTATCCCTAAAAGGCCAACATCGCACTCGTAACTCATTTGGTGTTGCGGGTGTCCATGGGCGGCGCTGATTGCTTACCACCAGGTCTTGTATTTTTTTGAGAGACCGACTCTCTCGCCTTTCCCTGAACGGGCGAAGTTATTTGATAATTTTCCCCTGACAAAAAAAGCGCGTTCGTAGGTCAGCTTGTTCACAACCCTATCCCAGAATAAAAACTCTTCTTTCTTTTCAGATTGACAGCTCTATTAACAGCAGAAGAGGAAAAGAATATCCGTTTGTTCGTCGAACAAGCGCAGGCGGGTGCCGAGGCGGTTTGGCAAGAGAAGAAAGATCGCCTCGCGTACTTACTCGCCAAGCGGAAGAAGGAACATGAAGATAAATACAGAGATGTACCGATGTGAGTATATTATCAAACATCGATGACGTCAGCCATTTTTAATTTATCAACCTCCATATCCTTCTTTCTTTTATGTTTAATTTAATGTTTCTTCTATATCCTTTCCCCTTTGTTCTGGGACACTATCCTTGCTTTGACTGTTAGAGAATCGCTTGAGGCATTAAGTCCGCCGTTCAGATTGTTTTGTTTAAAGAAGAAATAAATAAATACAGGGTGTTTGGCAGAACGTTGAACATACGAAAATGGTGGATAGGTAGGGTCATCTGCTACTTACTCAGCCCTAATTTATTTGGCCCTGGCCCACTGGATATTTCTTAATATTTTTTTTTTTTCGTCTAGTTTCACCACTTTCTTAACTTAAAAGAGTAATTTTTATTAAAAATGGGTAAAACAATTAATGTCGTGTCGTGGTGGCCCCGAGGTTAAGCGCCCGCTTCTCATGCACGAGGGTGTGAGTTCGAAACCGGGCAAGTACCAATGTGACTTTTTCCTAGTTATATGTACTTTCTATGATTATTTAGACACCACTGACATGCGGTGAAGGTAAACATCGTGAGGAAACCTGGACTTATAATTTCTAATTATAAGTTTGAAATCGCCAACCCGCATTGAGCAAGCGTGGTGATTAATGCTCAAACCTTCTCCGTGTGAGAAGAGGCCTTTGCTCAGCAGTGGGCACTTATAGGCTGATGATGATGATGATGAAAACAATTAATATTTAGTTCGTATGTTCAACATTCTGCCAAACACCCTGTATATAAATGTCCAGATCAAAGTGCGTGCACGTACAACCGTGTTTGGTAAAGATGCGTTCGAAGGAGTCTCAGGAAGGGCAGTTGTACCAGATGAAGGAGAACTTGGCTAAGAAGATGTCGGAGATTGAGATAGAGAAGATGTGGCATGCAGTCGCACTCAAAGAGGATGACGCTTTGGTGAGGAACATTTGTAGAAGTAATAGGTACACAAATTTCGCCAGTGTAATCGAGAGATGGGTAGCAAGCTCTCTTGTCCGGCCTTAATCGAGGCCATGGTGCGGTGTGAGAGGAACTGCTAAGTTTTTATAGAAACTTTATGTTGTCTCTTTTACGAAATTGTAGGCGTTTGAATTCCGTAGTTAAGAAGCAGCCTGATGGTTTGCAATCAAAGTCTCGTAGACCCACAATATCACAGTGCTAACAAGAATTTTACTGGTGTTTTAAAGGAAGCCATATAATAATATCCCATATCCTTATTCTCACGGCGAAATACAATGCAAAAATTACTTTGTACTGATGTTCTTTGAGTCCATTCGCCATAGAGATGTCCTACGTGGAGGTACCAACCGAAGATCGGATAGATGTGCACAAATTAAAGATTATAATTGGTAGGTTGGTCTCTTAGCTAGTAATAGTAATAATACTCATCAATTAGGGTGTGGCATATTTTGATGCAGTGGTGGCCAGGAGGTTAAGGCGCCCGCTTTAGGTTAGAAGCAAGTGTCAATGTAACTTTTTCGAGTTATATGTACTTTTTATGATTATTTAGACACCACTGACATACGGTGAAGGTAAACATCGTGAGGAAACCTGCACTAATCATTTCTAATTATAGGTTTGAAATCACTAATCTGCCTTAAGCAAGCGTGATGATTAATGCTCAAACTTTCTCCGTGTGAGTAGAAGGCCTTTGCTCAGCAGTGGACACTTATAGGCTGGTGATGTGTATGAGATACACTACCCCACTCCAAAGTTTGTAATAGTACTGAAATTTGTAGTTTTTTTTTGTCAGGGGACACTCATCACATGACTTCTCCCGCCCAGGGTGAGGCGAGAGGGAGTTTCAGACTCTTACTGACTAAAAACTCCCCTTCTCCTGCTCCAGGCCAAGGCCGCGGTGCCTCATTACGCTTGCCCCGCAACCCTACTGAATTTGTTTGGGATCTTAAAACCTTTATGATATTTACCATTGTAACAGACAGCTCGAATGGAAGTGGATGCCATGGAGCGTTTGCGCCGAGAACAAGAATGTGCTAAATACAGCAAGGACCTGATCGCCCGAAGGAAGGAACAGAAACGCAAGGAGCAGGAGTTGCTGAAGGAGGAATCTAAGAAGTTGAAGGAACTGTTTGAGGAGTATAAGAGGAAGGAGGAAGCTGGTATGTATATCATTATCATTGTCATCAGCAGGCCGTGACTATCCATCGGTAAACTAAGAACCTTCTTTATATAAGAAGTTTTTGTGATAGAAGGGCAAACGAGCTTAATCCGTCTGCTCGTTTGCCGACTTATACAATAAAAAAAAAACAAATACATTCTAATTATTTTCTACCACATTCAGATGAACGCGAGAGACAACAGAAGAGAATACAAGCAGGCGAAGAACGTAAGGCGGCTATCAGGGAACGGCAGGAGACTCTGGAGAAGCAACAAGCGGAGGCCAAGCTCATCAACGACACGTGGGACTCGCTGTCTTCCATGGGACTCATGGACGAGAAAAATAAGGAGGATCTGAGGAAGAAGAAAGCGGTATGTATGCGTCAGAGGAAATGATGTATGTATTTTCTTTTTGTTTGGCGACGGCGAATGAGCAATTGTATTATTTACGAGCGCAACGAGCGCAAAAAAGGACATGCTCAGCATTTGCTGAGACCCCAACCACTAGGGATTGGTGCCACAGCGCTGTTTTTTAGCATAACCTTGGGTGACGTGATGGCGTCCCATCATAATTCTGAACATTTTGAAGCGAAACGCAGAGTGAGTACAGGCATTTACCTGAGGTTAAGCAATCTCTAGAGGAGATGGAAGGTAGCTGATAGAACCATAAAATGACTGAGTAAAAATATTTAGTATGAACATTATGACTTAAAGCGTGTTTTTAGTTTTTGTTTGGAGAAGTTTGGATAGAAAACTATACATACATCATCATCAGCCTATAAGTGCCCATTGCTGAGCTAAGGCCTCTTCTCACACAGAGAAGGTTTGAGCATTAATCACCACGCTTGCTCAATGCGGGTTGGCGATTTCAAACTTATAATCAGAAATTAAAGTCCAGGTTTCCTCACGATGCTTTCCTTCACCGTATGTCAATGGTGTCTAAATAATCATAGAAAGTACATATAACTCGGAAAAAGTCACATTGGTACTTGCCAGGTTTCGAACCCACACCTTCATGCATGAGGAGCGGGCTCCTTAACCTCCGGGCCACCACGACCTCTATACATACATATATGTATGTGGTATAAGTTATGTGTGTCGTTGCTTTTTACAATGCAGATTGCACCTGCCGTGTCCTGTAAATAAATAAAAAAACTACGCTGAAAATTTGTAACAACTACGATAATTCTGTATTCATCAATAACTTTAATAGACATATCAATATTACTTGACATTTTAGAGAGAATTAAACGTCTGCAACAAGCATATAGTTCAATTGAAAGAGGAGAAGGCGCGCATTATGGGGGCGGACGACCCGCTCTTTGAAGCCGAGGCGCGCAAGATACAGGACGCCATGGATCAAAAGCGGTGCCAAGAAATGATGCGAGCTAAGAAGATTAACGATGTGAGTATTGCTAAAGACACCATATTATAATAATGGGTATGAATGTTAATACGCTATACTATCTACTACTACTCATTTTACTTTAAAATATTACAATAAAGTAGTGTCTAGACCCAATAGTCATTTTTTTATGTGATGGGTCAGCAAACGAGCAGTCGGATTATCTGATGGTAAGCAATCAGCATCGCCCATGGATGGATGGATAGAGATTTAGGGAACGTAGGGATTGGGTCTTCGTTAACCTTTGACTGCACGGTTGGCGCGGTGGCTGGGGGTCTACTCTCTTTCTTCGAAACGAAACTTTCGGAAACGAACGAAACTCGAACGAAAGAACGTTGACGACCCTACTCTGTTTTATTTTCGGACACGCATACGAAGTTCGATCCAGAGATAATTTTCGTGAACGAATGTAATTGTGTAGGTTCTTTATAATGTGATTTGTGGTAAATTACGGTTTTTACTTAAAGTTAAAATTACAAATTCTCTGGCTGCTTCTTTAAATTCCACATTATGTATGTGGTTTGTAAAACTATTACTTATAATATGCCACGCAGAAAATAATAATATATTTATTTTTGACGGAATTGTAATTTATCGTGTAATTTATCATCGTTACCTTATAAAACACTCTTTTACAGACATTTATAACCGACTAATTTAAAGAGTACTATTTCATGCCAAGAAAGGGTTGTTATGTATGACGACCAAAAATGGCTGTATTCGGACCGTGCACGACATGTGGCAAAAAATTAATGTCAACAGATTGTTTATTTTTATGAATGTACGAATTAATAAAATATACTATAAAAGACAATAAATATATGTGGTGAAAGGAATTTTATTGAATTGTATATATTGAATTGAATTGTATAAAAATGGATATTATTATAAAAACAGGATTTTAGTGTTATAAACACACAATCATTTTCTAGCCCCAGACTGTGCTAAAAGGTAAAATTGGTGTTAGAAGAACATGTGAGGGATGTGGAAGAACAAAGAACTAATGCGAATAATAATATGGCTGTGCGTTAATATTGATTGTGTAGTGGTGGAAGAAAATTGTGTGACAAAGCGAGTCGAAGCTAAATGTCCAATTATTTACATTTGAAAAGAAACCTGTCGTTGAATTTGATAAAAATGTATGCAATGTTAATTACTTACTATTTAAAAAAAAATTTAATAGAATTAAAACAAAGCCATTAATATTACACTCATGTTCAATTACAAATGTATGTAACTGGGATGGCAATGTGGGATATTTTTATTTTGAGCATTATTTGGTAAATAATGCTTATCTAAGTTAACTTAATATACTTGGATGTGTTACAGTAATATTGCTTTAATGTTATATAAAATGATAATAAGTTGTTTAAAACGATACTCCTTGTTATATCTGTTCTAATAGAAAATTTAAATTTAATTTAAAATGATACCTAATATTTTTTTAAATTTTTGTTTAATAAGTGCAGAACTTTAGGAAATAAAAATCAGTATTTTTTTCAAAAGTGTTATTCTATTTACTTCCCCATTTTTACATATTTGTGCCGCGACGAGCGCAGCAATTGGTTTCTTTACGACTGTCCTACAAACTCTAAGTCGGGAATTTGACTTCGGTATATTAAGTAGATTGCGCAGGTAGCGCCGGTTGTTCCTTCTACGCTCTACACGTTCTTCACGTAAAAGAGCTTCGATTTAAAGCATTCTTGTAGCCATTTCAAACAATTTTCATACAAAATCCACACTAAACGAAAATTAAAAGGTAATACTTTTGGTTTCGTCAATTTGAAGTTAAAAATTCGAAAAATCGTCTGTCAAATTCAAAAGTTCGTTCGGAGCTAATAATTATTTAGAGTAGGTTCTAAATGTCAAACAATTTCGTTCGAACGATATTTCGGAACGAATTGAAACTGTGGTAGGAAACACGCGAAGTTTCGATCGAAAGTTCGTTTTTCGTAGAATAAGAGTAGACGCCCTGGGCAATTGGCTGCCGCGGAACGTGTCGTGGTTTTGATTCCCGCACAGAATAACTCTTCGTATAATCCACAGATTGTTGTTCTGAGCCTGGGTGTGATGTGTATGTGAAATTGTATGTTTGTAAACGCAGTCACGACACATGAGAAAATCCTAGTGCCGTCAGTCATTCGTGCCGAATGGCTCTTCCACCCTTTAGCGTCATAGGTATTATTTTTACTCCCAAATTGTGTATTAACACCTCCACTATTAAACCGTCAGGAAGCCCGAGCCGGCGTTAAAGAACAAATAAAAGAGAATGCAGCTGCTCGAGCCAAAGAGACGGAGGCCCACCGCGAGGTGGTGCAGTACCAGCGCCAGCTGGGCGCGCAGCTCGACCAGCTCGTGCGGCACCGCGACCTCACCGAGGCACAGGCGCGCAAGCTGTTCCAAGCTCAACTACTGCAGCAGATTCAGTATAATAAGCTTATCAAGGTATACTTGTTTGAACTATAATTCTTAACCTCCTCCTCATGCCCCAGCTCCGGGCGTCGGGGATCAGAGATGATCTCCAGCCACCGTAAGTGCAGGTCTGCGCCATTCCCAACTAAAAACTCTATCAACAATCCATAATTAATTAGCAATATAATTATGTTCACACAGGAGCGTCAAAAACAGGAGGATTTAGACCAAAGGAATAAATGCATGATGGCTGCAGAAGACTATCAAAATGAGATCACCAAGATCATGTGTCGGTGAGTATTATAGCAATATATACCTTGATTATCATTTAGCCTGGGTTAATCTCACCAGGCAGCGGTTGGTACCGCGGATTTGGATAAAAGTATTGAATTTGACTAGTTGGAAACTACCGTATTGCACAAAAAATGTTTCAAAATTTATACCTACAAGGAAATTAATGGCCGCAACTATACGTACTACTTAACATGTAAACAAATGACAAGCCAGTGACGTCACGCTCGAAGTGACAGACACCCGAACATAGGTACTGGGATTTTTAATTAAATTTTTCCTACAAGCGTTTATCCGAGTGATGGATTCGGGTAAAACCATAAAACGAATTGTTATTCGGTGACGATGTGATCGTATTATTTTTATATTCTCATCACAAAATTTAGTATCAGTATTGCACCCATTCGTAGTCGGGGCGGGTTGCTAGATATTTTATATACATACTTATTATTATTTTGTTTCTTCGTTTCCTTTCACGGGATCACAGGATCCTTTGGAAGGCGTACGAGGAGCCGAAGCCAACTTGCAGAGGCCGGTTGAACAGTTTTAATATTTAAAAATGTTATTATTATTATTATACTTATCATTTTTCAAACTGAAACTAACACTTTAAGAGTTGAAGAGCCAAGCTGCAGCACGAATGAGTCGGCTCGACCGGAGTGATACCACGGCCTCACAGAAAACCGGCGTCAAACAACTATAGCGTTGTGTTTCGCCGTGTGAGTGAGGTTACCGGAGGCCCAATTCGTCCCCCTCCTCTGTCCATTCCCAATCCCTAAATATCCGCATCCCTTATAAGCCGGCAACGCACTCGTAACTCCTTTGGTGTTGCCGGTGTCCAATGGCGCTGAATACTTACCATCAGATAATCCGTCAGCCCGTTTGCCGACTTAACCCATAAAAAAACTAGTTAGTACCTAATAGTAAAAAACTACTGTGTTTCATTTCATACTATGTAGTGATTTTTCAAAATGAACCTAATTACTAGCCAGGGTTGCGGGGTAAGCGCAATGAGGCACCGCGACCTCGGCCCAGAGCAGGAGAAGAAACGGGGGTTTTTAGTCAGTAAGAGTCTGATACTCTCTCTCGCCTTACCCTCGGTGGGAGAAGTCATTGGATGATTTTCCCCTGACAAAAAACCTAAATACTAACTGTTGTACTGTCTATGATTAGTATTACTAATCAGTGTTGCACTATTATTGTCTGTGTCGTCATCTCACTATAAAGAGGGTGGCCGAGCGAGTGTCGGCCATTGACAATGTAACTCTGGTGCAGTGAGCTGCAAGACTGTATACTATATAATTAAAGTCAAGTATCCAAGATCGAAGTCTTTCAATCATAATACACTAACATCCTCATTGTACGTATTGTATTACGGAATTAGAGGTGCATCTCTGGACCTTCTTACCTCATACCTGAGTAATAGGGTTCAGAGAGTCGAAGTAAACGGAATGGTTTCTGCCGGGTCTGTTGTGAAGATGGGTGTTCCGCAGGGTTCTATTCTCGGCCCGTTTTTATTTCTTATCTATATTAATGACTTGCCTTACCTTGTAAGGGATAAACACGAGATAGTGCTGTTTGCTGATGATACCTCACTATTATTCCAACTCAGACGACGACAATCATTAATTGACAATGTAAACAGTGCTCTCTCAGAAATAGTTCACTGGTTTGGTGTGAATAACTTATTACTAAACGAAACTAAAACTAAATGTATTAAATTCACAACACCAAATGTTAAACAGATAAAAACCAGTGTGCTTGTCAAGGGCGAGGAGTTGAGTCCTGTAGATACAACTGTCTTTTTAGGTATAACCCTGGACGCTAAGCTCCAGTGGGGCCCACATATAGATGGCTTGTCGAAGAAGCTCAGTTCTGCAGCATATGCCGTTAAAAAAATTAGAAATTTAACAGATATAGATACAGCGCGGTTAGTTTATTTTGGTTATTTCCACAGCATCATGTCATACGGTATTTTGTTGTGGGGGAATGCTGCTGACATCCAGTCTATTTTTGTTCTGCAGAAAAGGGCTATTCGATCAATCTATAATCTTAGTCCGAGGCATTCGCTCAGAGAATTATTTAAGGAATCTAAAATAATGACAGTTGCCTCTCAATATATTTATGAAAATGTAATTCACGCTCATAAAAACAAAAGCTTATTTTAGAAATATAGTGATATACATAATGTCAACACGAGGGGGAAAAACAAATATGTTGTGCCTGCCTCCAGGCTTCAGAAAATAAGTAGTTCGTTTAGGTGTCAATGTATACGCTTTTACAATAAAATTCCTAGCGATATTCAAAATTTGAGCCTCAATAAATTTAAAAGTGTAATAAAGGCTAAACTTTGCTGTAAAGCATTTTATAAAATAAAAGACTACTTAGAGGATAGTGGAGGATAGTCAGGCTTGGGAATGAGCCGCTGTAATGTCTGCACAGGTCATGTTGACATGTTTGTAACATAAGTTACACTTTTATATACAATTTGACATTACGTTTATTTTTTTTTTTATACAATGACATGATCACATAGTGTGACATTTTTATTTTTTATTTGACATTTTTTTTATTTATTTGTTGACATTTTTATTATTTTATATTATTGTTAGTGTAAGGAACGTGTGAGACTTGTCGTGCTTTTTTATCACCAGTCATCTGCGTTCTGACAGTTTGAGTACTTGCGCGACCCACCCAAATGTTCTTTTGATCGGTATTGTTCGTCGGACAACTCAACAGCACTAGCTATATGGTTGCAAACTGACACTTGCGTGCCTGTCTTCAGAACGGGTCCACTTAAACTGGTGTGGTTCTTTCCTCAAAAGACCACTACAGAATGAACTTGCACGGTTCTCTCACATTATGTTATTTTATATTGTCTGGACTTGAAAAGAGACTGACCTCTGAGTTTGTTTCGGCATTTCTTCTCAGAGTAGTCAGATAGGAAATGCCGGCTTCATCTAGTTTTTCACATATAATTTGACGTGTAAAAGTGCCGTTTTAAGGCCTATTTGCAAAAATAAATTCATTGTTTCATTGTTTCATTATTTCACAGTGAATTCTTCAGTGACGAAATACATCCATTCTTAAGAAAGATGTATTCGGGTTTGAAGATGCAAGAGAAATGTCCTTGTTCGAAACCCGATTACTGCGCTGTACCTGTGCGGGGACCGAAACTCGGAGACATGCCAAAGACAAGTCAACAACCAAACCCAACTGAAAATAGGTCTGAAGACGCAGGGAATAAGGTTGTGAATCCTGCGAAGAGTTCCGAAAACCCTTAAGCTTCTAGCAATGGTGATCCCGGACCTTCAAATGATTATAAATAAAAGATATTGATTTTATAACCCCATGTTTGTGGATTATTTTTTATGGAATTATAGTTATTGGTCTGAGTTTTTGTGAAGTTTTATTTATTTACCTTAGTAAAATTAAGTTAGTCGTTTATTATATTTATTTATAGGAAAAAATAATAAACGGAAAGCAAAGAATGAGAAGAAGAAAGAAAGAAAAAAGAATAAGCCAAAGCAATAAACGGAAGTGTAATTTTTTTGAGTAGGTACCTAATGTATGAATATTGTTACGTGCCTGACGTCAAGTTCCTGACTATGCGGGCTTGGGTTACGGGATTGGATGAAATTAAACACTAATACCGGTTTTCAGACTTTCTATTGTACTTAAGTGACAGCGTCCACGGAGTTTGGTTATCGGCGTTCCTCTCCAGCAGAGTCCGGCCAACTGACACAACTTTTCCGCCCACTGTTCACGCTGACTTAACTCACTGCACTTCACTGTTTCACTGCACTTCACTATTTCACTCACTTTTCTTCTTTTTCACCTCTTCCTTTTCTTCCGAATCGCTTTGGACTTAGAACTCAACTGCCAGCGGTGAGCCGCAGTTCCGCTTATATACCCCCGGTCAGGTTCTGGAACATTCAATTTCGTTATTCTTTTTGAACGTCATGCCTCCAGAACCTTCCAATAATTTCGTTATTCAATTTTATTTATTCTCCTTCTCGCTCTTTAATTTTTCATTTCTTTCACACAAATAATTCCAGAAAGTTCGACAAAACTTCCATCAACTAAAAAACTTCATGTTTACGGCGGGACTCGAACTCGGGGTCTCTGTGGTGTAATCCACACGCCTTACCGATTACACCAACTCGTGTTGACAATTCACGACGAAATTTACAATCTCTAGGCAACGTTTGACAACCATCCATTGACGTCATGATGTCAAAGAGTTTGAACCACGTTTCCGTCACACTGCCCTCCTCTTAGATTTGCTCGTCCCGAGCATCATTGCTGCCGTAATACCTCGCCAACCTGTCTATATGGACAACTTTCAAAGGGCTCCTTAAAGTCTTCCGAATTCTGTAAGTAATGTCATTGATCTTCGTGACTATCTCATAAGGACCTTCCCAACTCGGTTGCAGCTTCGGAGATTTTCCCTTCCTTCTGACTGGATTATGAAGCCAGACCAATGACCCTTCTTCAAACCCAACAGAATTGGCTCGTCGATCATAGCGCGTCTTTGCGCGATCACTAGCTTGAAGACCGGCCTCCCTGATCTGCTCATAAATGTCCAACATTTTTGCCCTTAACTCGCTTATGTAATCGCTAAACTCGGTGCGAGTGTCGCCAGGTGGACAGCCCGATACAAGATCTGCCGGTAATCTCAATTCCCTTCCAAAATTTGCAAATGCAGGCGTCTTTGCGGTACTTTCATGTACAGCAGTCCGATAGGCAAGCAAGAAGAGAGGTATGTAAGTGTCCCAATCTCTCTGATGGCTGTCAACCACCTTTGCTAAGTGTCGCTCCAATGTTTGGTTGAAACGTTCGACCATTCCATCTGACTGTGGATGATAAGGGGTCGTTCGAGTCTTATGGATTCCCAAAAGTTTACAAGTTTCCTGAAAAACTTGGGATTCAAAGTTCCGTCCTTGATCACTGTGCATCTCCAAGGGCACTCCGAATCGGGTGAATACCTCGTTTACCAACTTCGT